TAATTTAATTTCAGGAAGATAGAAATTGTAAGAAATAAAGCCACAAATCTGGACAGCTTTGGCTGTAATTCTGTCAGCGTGCGGCGAGAGATCAAGATTACTAGTGTAGCTTAAACCTAAATCCTTGATGGTGGTACATTCAGTCATAGGTGTTCCTTGAAAGACCACAGGTTGGGGTAGCCTATCAGGTCCAAAACACATATAACGATATTTAGACGGAGAGAATTCCATTAGCCATTTTGAGCTCCAAGCTGAGAGAGCAAGCAAGTCAGCATGGATTTGCTCCAGGCAATGAAGACTCGTAGATTTATTGCTGTCCTTTCTTCGGTTTAATGAACGCCTGCGACCGCAATAAAATCGAAAATGTTCAGAGGGTTTTCACCCGGAAACCGTTCTGTCAAGCTTCGTCCAGTATTTCGTACACTCAAAGATGTCAGCTGGCGAACATGAAGTTTTTGTGGGTTAGAAGACTCGAAGCTGGCCTTTGCTTCCTTTTTCGCATCAACTCTAGCTCCAGTCTTCCGCCCATTGACACTCTCACTCCGAGGGATCGGTCTTATGTCACGCGCAACTCCTGCATGGTGATTCCGCCGCCTCTTTGTACTACATCTAAGCGCTCCCTCTTCTTTGCTTCCAAATATGCCTTCCTTTGGAATAATCTTCCGCCTGGAATTTGATTATCGCCTAGGTTACTGGTATTCAAGTCGAAATTACGCAAAAATCTTACACCGGAAAGCATAAAGACACTGTTAACGGTCTCATTCCCGAACACTCAGATTCTTGACTTCGAGAAGGGTCCTCCTGGGATTTAGTGGTAGATTAAGTGGTAACTCTTAATTATAGCATTAGAAACCCCTGTTTTGCCTTGGTTTCTAAATCCACTGCTATCACTCCTACCCCATAGCGACAATTTTCGCGGTTTTTGATGTCATCTCCCGCATTCCGATCTCATGCGGTCTGTCGACGCTCACGGCGGAACCCTCAGTATTCACTGTCTACTAGTAGTTCGGTCGTACCTCCCTTCCCCACTCCTCGGCTGAGCTCGAAGCGTGCTGTGGCCGATCGCATCTGGGTTCCTCTCGTCTGGCCTCTTTGACGCGGCGTATCAATCCGGCCCAGACGATCTCAATTGTGAATCCCGTATACAATGCCATTTGCAAACCAGTCCTGTCTGACCCACATTCGACATTTATTGCTACCCTGACGATGACCGACAACATTCCGTTATATACCGCCACCTACAGGCCAGTCCTGCTCGCTTTTTTCTGTTATTAATTTTATGGAGGGTTTTTTTTTCTTCTGCAAAATCAATCCAATCATTTTTAACTTTTTGTAAAGAGTTTTTTTTCACCCCTCAATCATCATGTTTCTCAATGGACTTCTAATTCAGAAACTATGAATTGCATTTTGTAAAGACTCCTCCTACCTCGTCTAAAACTCGCATGCAAATTTATGTTAACTTGCTTTGATGGGACCCCGACGGGTCTTTAATAAAAATTATCTATCTGTCTATCTACCTTCCCTTATCTGTTCTTTACATACTTGAGCGATTGCTTAGACTGCCTATTTTGCAAGCTGTAATGTTTGCTGATGGTTTGAAGATGTGGCTTTCTACCGAATTTTTAGAGTACGCTTTATAGTTCCAAACTTGTTTGATTGAATGCACTTGTGGTGTGATGAATTGCTTCCCAACGTCAAATTCTACATATGTAAATTCATCAGACTAATGTTTATTTTCAGCATTTCCTCCGTAACCACGAACTCGAGCTTGTAAATTAGGTAATGGTCCTTGGTGTGTGGATGACTTCCACTCGCAAACCGTCGTCTTATTGCGCAAAAAGAGCAATGAAGGCTATGGGCATGGTGGGAGTTATCAGGAGATCCTTCCTTAACTTCGACGAAGAGCTTTTCGGTCGAATGTTTGGAACACTTATTCGGCCGATTTTGAAATATGAAATTTAGTCATGGCGACCCTGGATGAAGCAAATTGCACTCTCCTGGAGAAGCTGCAGCGAAGGGTGATTCAGCTAGTCGGTGGGCCGAAGATCCTACCTTTTGAAGGGGCGGAAAGAAAGGCTCAAACTTCCCTTATAGGCATTACAGTGATGAAATGATCCTGGTCTTCAACTTTGTCAGAGGAGTAGACTGTGCACTCAAATTGGCCGATTTTTTGGACTGGCACAAACGACAAATCTCCGTGGTTACAGACATAAATTGAAGACGAGATACGTTAAGCTTGAGGTGCGGGCGAATTTTTTCTCCGACTGACGATTAAGGATTGGAACAAACTACGTGATTCGGTTGTTCTGGCGGAAAGCGTTGAGACCTTTAAACGCAGACTTGCTGACATTTTATATGATGGCCATGTATTTACTTGAGAAGAACTGATAAAGTGAACTCGTATCTGTAGGTATGTATGTAGGTATATAGGTATGTTTTTTTTCAGTCTATGTTTATAATTAGGGTTCTCAAAGGTTATGCCTTTCTGCCCTATATATACTGAATTATATCTGGCTCATGGATGTCGAGGGCGCAAAATGTGTTGCAAGCATGAACTTTGCCGAATCCCTGGTCCAAGTATGTTCATATGCTTTGGTTTACACGTCAGTGGATATGGGAAGATTGCGTATGCGTAGAAGATATAGGCGTGGACTTCTAAACCAACAGTTCGCGAGTTCGAGGCTCGGGTGTTCCACACTTCGAGCTTGGGGATGGCTGGCTGACGACGGCCAATAAGCCAAAAGTGACCATTCCAGTCTCCCTTGTCTTTGTCGGTAATACCATTCTGCCTATATATCATGCGCCGCTGTGCGGCTGCTGGTTGGGCTCGAGAGAGAGCCCTTAAGGCACAACGGAACGAGTGAGTTCCGTATGAACGATCGGTGAGTGCCACCTACCACAGAATATAGTCATTTATGTTGTTGACGGTAACAGTGTGCATCAAACGCGCAGGGATGCGTTGCATAAGAAATGAAATCAAGGAATACTTTATTGTTGGCCGTAATATTCCTGCAGTGAGAGTCGTCCTTTATCAAAAATCAAACGATCCAACTGCCTTTTGAATACGACCAGTTTGTCGAGTGTCACTATTACACTTAGGAGTGGACTCCACGTTCAAACCTTAACCTGACTGAATGAAAAGTTCCATAAGTGTAGGCACACATGCTCACCTTGGACCTTGTATGGAGGACTGCGCAGGTGACTTATGTTTGTGATCTAAAAGAAATCTACAGAATTGAGCGAGCGATCATGCCCCAGGTAATGCGGAATGTCCATTACAGGTCGCATCTCATTTGTCTACAGTATAGGGAAAACAAATTCAGCTGTATCCGTTTTTCCGGATATGACTGAGTGTCAAGATTGTCCACCAGTTTTGTCGTCCGTACTTAGCCCGCCTAGTCCAGTGTATGATGCTGGTTGCCCTTTGGATGGCTCTTTTGCAGTGCTCGGACGGCAGCAAGCTTGAAGTTCTCCAAACACCTAGGTCTTTATGCGCACACACTTCTTTTGGTGGAATCCCTTTTAAGCTGTAGTCGTGTTTTGAAAAACGTCCCCGACCGGATTCCAATCGCAAGACTACGCATTTGAATGCCTTAAACGTTAGAAGCCACTTGCCTGACCATACAGCCAACTTATAAATGTTTTCTTGCAGTTTCTGCACGTCATCAGCACAGCTGATTGTTTTCCAGCCTTTTATATCATCAGCAAACATGATGGCATGTCAGTCAAGATCTGCTGTATAGCCCTTGATAAAGCTGAGAGAGAGGACAAGACCCAAGACCGAACTCCACGGAACGCCGCTTACTAATGAGGCCCATTCGGGTGCAGCGGTACCAACAATTATTCCTTGCAACCTACGTGACAGGAAACTTTTAATGCAATTAAAAATGTTTCCCTGGATTCTACACTGCCAAATCTTCTGTGGGAGTTGCCCATGAGGCACGCTATCCAACGCCATTTTAAGTCAAAGGAGGTGACGTAACCTGGGTGGCCCTGATCTGTGACTTTTGTTCATTATTCTTACGAGTAAGGAATACTGGCAAGTCATGAGCCGCCGCGACGCAGTCCTTGTTGAGCAGAACATGCTAGGTTCTTCCGTTCCAGATACGTCACTTATTGTTCCTAAACAAGTTGTTCCGTTACCTTGTACGGAAATTAAGGTTAAACTAATAGAAGGGTAAATTTCGGACTTCAGTCTGTACCTTCCTTTGTAGTTTTCCATTCCTTCGGCAGTTCATCTTCTTCCATGGACGTTTAAAATATCGTGGACACCGGCTTGCATAGTACGTCAGTCAATTCTGGAAGTCAAGTGGGGGAATTCTATTTGGACAAGGGGATTTGCCAGGCTTCATTCACCGTTCTGCCCTTGTCGCTGTAGACGATGCTTCAACAGCTCACATTTTTCACAGGACAATAGCGCTCGCTCAGGGACGACGGATTAACCGCTGTCTCTGTTCTTTTCCGGGCTATTCCGTTACTATTTAAATAAGCCACTGTATTTTGCGCTTACACTTTACTTGTTGATAGTCCGATTTTTGCTCTGGCACCTGCGACATTCGCGCCTCCGAAAGCGCAGGTTCTTGACGAAAATGAACTAAATAGTCAGGCACGCACGTTTCTTCTGATCGATGCTGTATTTAACTTACGTTCGCTCTTGATGAAAATGTATGCATAGTGCGACCGTAATAGTGGAGTACCCTGGATAGCAAAGTGTCTGCCGCCTCTGTGATAATTTTGAACGGACCCGTTCTGAAAAGTTTCAACAAATGACTAAGCTCATTGCAAACATTGCGCGTTGAATTCGACCAATTAAAATCTTCTGGTTTGGCCTCGTCAACCCCAAGTGACTTGCGCGAACGATGGTAACTGAGACGGCTGACAACACCAAAGAGAAGGCCTTGAGCGACTACAGGCGAAAACTGATTGAGCACAGAGAACTTGAAGCCAGGCTTAAAGAAGGTATGTTGTACTCTCATATCCACTATTTTCCAGCACGTGAGAAGTCAAAGGCTGTGACTAAAGAATATGATAAGGCTGAGAACGACCTCAAGGCCCTTCAGAGTGTTGGTCAAGTTGTTGGTGATGTCTTAAAACAGCTAACGGAGGACCATTGTGAGTAGTACTGCATTTCATGTCTGTTCTCAATCATCTATTGAATGTCGTCCATTCCGTTGTTAACAGCGGGAATTATTCAATCGGTGTATCTCCATCCACGCGTTTTTATTGTCATCGAAAGGTCGTCTGTGTATGTCTGTGTCGCATTTTATTTGCGTGATTGTCGACTTCTTTTATTGCCTATATCCACGTTTTCCTACTTGCGCGCCCACACTCGATATTTATCTCCCGACCCAACTTAATTTGCTGCGCTTCGGTCGTAATTACGACCGAAGCCCAGCACATACACTTAAGTGTATATGAGCTTAGTGTGGACTGTAAATTAAATACGCACTACGCACTTCCCAGTTAGCCGGAGTGCCGATTCGTAGGCCTCTTGTATGCTGGTCACATAGTAGTCAACACGTTGTCTTACTTTTCTGTTTTTACTGCGGGGCTTAGGGATTCATGCACTTTTTATGGTCTGATGTCTTATCGGACCACGCGCCTGCCCATCATGGCCGTCAAGGTGGGAGTGAATATGCGAGTCCCAAGTTCTTGTTGCAAAGAAAATGAACGCGAGATCACTGGAACAGCACGTGTATTAGTCTGAGCTTCGGACTTGTACGGGAAGCCATCGTCAGAGACTGAGAATTCGGCGTCAAATGAGTAGTTTTGTAGTCAAACCAAGAGGGGGGATTGGAGTGCAGGAGGTGGTTTTCGCGATAACTCTGAGTCCACGCCGTCTCACGGCGGCGTGACTGCATGCATTCTTGGCTGGGAATTGTATCTCACCCCTTGGCCGCGGTTACGGAGCGCGTGATAGCAGGGGGGTATATCAATGTGTCTGTTGATGGAGTTGGTATCAAACACCCAGTCCTCCAGCAGTTCTCGCCCTGTCTTGTTGCTGGCCCGCGCCATTATCCGCGTGCTCGCGAAGTTGATTTCATGGCCTTCCTCCAGAGTGTGAGTAGCGACCTCAGACAGTGGGTTGCATCTCCGGACTGCCCATTTATGCTCCCTTATTTGCGAGCTAAGCCGTCGTCCGATCTGTCCTGTGTAATGGCGAGGGCAGCCCCGGCATGGGATCTGGTAAGCAACACCCGATTGTTCTACGTCAAGGCGGTCCCTCATTTGCGTGATTTTGTTGCGCTTAGTTGCTGTCGGCCGATGAGCGACACCCACACCGAGCTCTCCAGCGATACGTTCCGTCGCTTCGGACACATTCTTTATATATGGTGGAAGGTGCCAGAGTATTGACGGCTCTCTGTTCGCCGTGGGTACGTGCGGAGGCAGCGACCGACGAAGCTGTTTGGGTATTTATTCCTTGCCAATTGGTCCCAAAGATGCCGTAGTTCCCTACTGGTCCCTCTGGTCCACTGCAATGCATTTTTACCCTTTGGAAGAGTGCCCTAACACAGCTGCGTTTATGCGCCATTGGGTGGTTACTATGGTAGTTGGGAATTGCAGTCGTGTTAGTCTCTTTTCTATACACCATGGGGCTGAGTTCGTCATGGGGTGTGCCTGTGACGAGAACGTCAACGAAAGGCAGCTGTTCGTCATGCTCTTCTTTCCTTGTGAACTGAACCCATCGGCGTTCCGTTGATCTGCTCGTATGTTCTGCCATTAAAGGTGAAACAGATTTGTTGACGGAAAGCAAAGAGTTCGAGTAAGTGGTTGACTTTTAGATGTCTGTTAGTTTCTTCGTAGTTTTCTTCGAGTCGTTTGCGTAGAACGTCGCGTGCTATGTCCGGCGGGATAGATGTTTGACTACAAAACTGCGTATTTGACGCCGCGTTCTCGCAGTCCCTGACGATGGTCTCCTGTATGAGACCGAAAGCTCAGACTAATACGCCTACTGTCCCAGTGATCGCGCGTTCATGTTTTTTGACCGTGAAGGTATTTACTTTTCGACTGGCAGTGTTTTTAAATACCGATTTCCATAGAGTTGGCCGTTTTTTTTCAAGATTACAAAACGTGCCATCCGCTAAATTGAGGGAGACTGATGAGACGCTTGTAAAAACTCTTCTGGGCAGCAGTCTGGTCCCCAGGTACTTGAACTATCTAGCCCATCAGACGGAAGACCGCTGACAACAAGTGGTGATCAGCGATGTAACGAAACGGTACTTTTAGTTGTGCCTGCAGCCAAATCGACTTAACCAGCAATCTCCCGCACCAAAGATACTGCACTTCATAAGTTATCGTGGCTTGACGCGCAACATCCACACCACTTAAGGTATTTCCAGAAACCCAGTCAATTACGTAGTTGAGTAGGATGGCTCCTAGAGTGGATCATTATCAGTCTAACCAAACTTCGGGCAATTGCGAGAAGTTTTTGCGAACAAGATCTCCGACAGTGGTGTGACACTAGTTGGCCTTTGTCACTGATAACTCGCCTGCGCACCGCAGATATCTGCAACGAGCCAAGTCAAAGTTTTCAGCGTTAGCAACTGAGTAAACGGTTGTCAACTGCTGATAACTGACAGAATGTGCCGTACTTTGGTTTGGCCACATCTCTGTACTGCACATACTTGGATACCACCCGTGAATGACAGTATCGCTTGGGAAGAGGAATGCCGGGGTAGTAATTTTTACTTAGTCTTAGCTATCTTGGCGAAAGCGTAAGCGAGGGTGGTTAAACTTCAGTCATTGAGTGCGGCATCATTTCATGCCTATTGGACGACCTCGTGTAGCTAAGATTCCAGAATGTCAAAACCAAACGTAGATGTCGGCAGTGGTGTCATATTCGGGCGCCTTATCGCTGTGCATCGTTAGTGATTTAATCCATGACGCTGCACATCCGGGATGGGAACTAAACACGGGGACGAATTTTGCGTTTCTTCCAAGCTCCAGACTTTGGACAACCCTCACGTTCCATTACATACCTGTCACGTGGTTCTTATATCCACATTTCTGTCCGGTGGCAAAGGCAGGATGGGTTAATTGTATATACCTATGGGATACCTTAGTGCCTTAAGCGTCTATCAGTAATTTCAGGTCCGCAGGTCAAAATCAAGCCTTTTGCGCCAGCAAAATTGCCTTCTTTTTGACTCAGTCAGTCCATTCTCGTTGCAGGATCAGGAAGTGTCTCTGCTTCTTTCGTTTATTCGCAGTTTCGATCATGATTTTGGTATGCTGGTCGGGAGTTGGTCGTGTTGGTTGAAGGTCTCCTGTCGCCCTAAATCTCCGCCTTTGTGCTCTCTTGCTTAGGACTATGAAAGTGTTAATCGAGACTCGCAAGCCTATACTAATCTACGAAAATTTTAATTATCAGCATTTCCCCTTTTCAGTTATTGTCAAAGCTAGTAATGGTCCGCGGTACGTCGTTGGGTGCCGAAGAAATTTGCAGAAGTCCAAGCTTAAAGCAGGTACTCGTGTCGCTCTGGATATGACGACTCTGACCATCATGCGTCAGCTTCCACGCGAAGTTGATCCTCTAGTCTATAATATGTCCGTGGAGGATCCTGGTGTCGTTTCCTACGCGTCCGTTGGCGGTTTGGCTGAGCAAATCCGGGAGTTGCGGGAGGTTATTGAGTTACCTCTTATGAACCCAGAATTGTTCCAACGTGTCGGAATCACTCCCCCCAAAGGTTGCCTTTTGTATGGGCCTCCGGGTACCGGCAAGACTCTGCTAGCCAGGGCAGTTGCATCACAGTTAGATGCTAACTTCCTCAAAGTTGTATCAAGTGGCATTGTTGACAAGTACATTGGCGAGTCAGCCAGGCTGATTCGTGAGATGTTCAGTTACGCCCGCGACCATCAACCCTGCATAATCTTCATGGATGAAATCGATGCTATCGGTGGACGACGTTTCACCGAGGGCACCAGCGCAGATCGGGAGATTCAGAGGACTCTTATGGAGCTTCTCAACCAGATGGACGGTTTCGATGCCTTGGGTCAGGTATGCTCATTTGTATTTAGCGTACTCGATAGTTTCCCACTAAGTCCACTATCGTATCCCCTTGATGACGTACGTTTTTCATTTTGTACATTATGATTAGGTAAAAATGATAATGGCTACCAACAGACCGGATACCCTGGACCCCGCTCTCCTTCGTCCGGGTCGCCTGGACAGAAAAATAGGTAATCCTTCTGTTAAGCAGACCGCATTTCAGCTCTCGGTTATTTCTCACTTGTCGATTTCCCATGACAATCCTTGCTGTACACTGCATTACGTTAGCTTTCCTTCTCCCTCTGCTTCTTACCGTGCGGTGAACGCGAATTTTCGCCCTAGGTGCACCCGATTCAAATAGCTGCATAAGTTATATTTCGCGGCTCTCGAAATGGCACCGTCCCCCCAGTACAGCTGTTCTTTCTCATTGTTGCATTGGCGCTGCACTTTGGAAGGATTAAGAGGCCTAGGTTTCTAAATACCCTATTGTGTCGCGGACCCTCTGTCTTTTCCCCAAAATGCGATCCCACTAAACTGTAGCATGTAATCTTCGACATAATGGAGTATGCAGCTCGCTTCTCCTAGGCCGTTTCCGTTTAGTATTCTTCACTTTAAGATGAAGTGTCACTCACGCCGTCTTTATCAGTGGGGCCGTGCGATGCAGCTGTTTTTGAGCTCAGCCAAACGTCTTAGAATTAACGTTTTGATTCGTTCAGTCATGATTCGGAAAGAAAGCTGTGTTAGTGAATGTCGTAGTTACCTTGTAGAATCCGTCCCTCTGTCGACTTATTAACAGCCTAAGATCTTTCCGCCCGGACTGGGTGCCTTTTAGAGGCAAGGACTTAAAGGAGGTGGTTGGATTAATTTTTCCTAGTACTATACTTTTTGGATTTCTCCGAATTTCGCACTTTCTGCGTGCTACAGGATTTCTTCAGAAAAGAACTGCATAATCCCGTCATCGTCGAAGACTCGCCTTTGCCAAATTCTAGTCTCCCTTACCTTTATCTAGACACTATCCTGCTTCCAGCCCATCATAATCAGTGATACGATTTTGCAAACCGTGTTTTAATCCCGGCGATCAAATGTATTTCGTTACCTAACCAGGGTCCTTAACTATACTTTGACCTGCATTTTTGCAGAGATACCCCTTCCAAACGAACTGGCACGAATGGACATCATGAAGATACACGCCGCTCCAATTGCCAAACATGGAGATATTGGTAACGATTCAATTTATTCAAAGCTATGTCAACTAACTGAAAATATTGCCCTGTCTGACACAAAAAATGCTCGCTCGTGTTTTGCTGGCATACTGACGCAGGGTTTTGAGGATGAGGACGAGTTTAGGGGCATATCAAGTTTACAGGGAATTTTTTATAATGATGACCTTACATATGTATCCGCTTCATAAGTGTTGAGCTGCTCAGCCGTACGGTTTGCTTCTAGTGGGGCTAGCCTTATAGCGACCTTTTCCGACCAGTTTGGACTACAAATTTTTGCATGTCTGAGTTTGCCCCTTATAATTCTATCCTCACTGCCTTTAGCTTGTCTAATTATATATCACAAGCCCTCCCAAAAAATAAGAGGCGGCCACCACTTAGATGATTTTAACAAATAGCTGGTAGGATCAGCACCCTGCTATCCGGTTTTTATATCATCCCATATGTTCTACAGGACTAGCATACTGTTCCCTTTTCATGCTTCTTATCACTTATTTCAGACTGGGAAGCGATAATTAAACTCTCAGATGGCTTTAATGGAGCTGATCTTCGGAACGTCTGCACAGAAGCAGGTGTGTTTCTCCTACATTTATGTGAATATGAGCTCAGCACTCCACCTTCATCCAAATGACTAGATGGGTGACCAGAAAGTAGGTTGTTTGATAAACTGGTGAACTCGGCTATCCTTGTTCACGTAAGTTGACTGGTCTAATTAATCGTTTGTTGAAGGGAAGCCGCACAATTCCAGGGAAACGATCAACAGGACACTCTGATTAACACTTGTATGTAATATAGTGACAGAGTTTTATGATGTAACAAACTTAACAGGACGTCTAATATAAGTGTATGGATAGGGAGAACCGAGAACTATCAATAATGAACGAATAGGAATAAACCAAGTAGCTTGTTTGTCAAGGGCCTCCAGATCAGGTAAAGACGTATTTTTGTACTCCTCATCTGCTGAGTGGCCTTGCGCACACGAAAGTAGTTGTCGTCCCCGGGACTTTACGTCGAGTTCGGTGTCCCAAATAGGCGTGATTATTTCTAAAAAGGCGACAATCTCTTTGTTTACCTCTCGAACACTCTCAGATCTTGGCGCTCATTTCTGTGTTCTAGACCCTTGTTTTCTACAAGGAACCCTAACTGTTGGGCATTATTCAGCTCTCTACGTGACATCCTAGACCTCTATGCTGAGGCCTATTTCGTAAGCGTGTAGGGACCGACGCACATGTCACACGCGCCACTAAACCCCCGCCCATGTGCAGTCGTTTTGGCCTTGTCGTACCGTTAAACACATGTGGGAACCGAGTGAGTTCGGAGCTTCAAAAGTCTGTTTCACGGTAAACAAAGTCGCGCCGATGGAACAAAAACGGTTGTCGATAGCAGTTGCGGTAGACGAACTACTGATTCCTCAGTAAAAAAAGCCACAGTTGACTCAGCCATCCCTCCCTGAGCAGTGGCTTGCATTTGAAGAGCCAATATTCATGCACGCACACGTATAGTAGCCGGCCCGTCCAACGAAGTGTTAGCCGACTTTCTGGAATGCGTCTCCGATCAGAAAGTTTTACTTAGATTGGGTTTTTAATATTGATTGTTGGGCAGCATAATCCCAAGATATTTCAGTCGCATCAGGATGCTGCCTTTCAACGAGCTCCTTTCCGACTACCTGCAAAAAGACACTCATTACGAAGTGGCTACTTTATTTATATGACTTTTTCCCGTTGACTTTTGGTGGCCAAACAAATTCATGTGTACTTTGTAGATAACAGGCACAAAATATTCCTTCTTGTACTCATTTGACAGCATATTGTGTCTTCTCCAAATTTAATACTCCAAGAAAGGGTACCTTCCGGTTTTAAGAAAGTTTCCAGTTATGAGATTTTTTAAGACCGTGAAATGTCCGTTCATATAGCGTCGTGCCTGTCCGTTTATTAGTGCTGCTTGTGAAATATACCACATGGTCCATACCCATTGCAGAATTATTTGAGCCCTATGTAACATCTCCCTAGTAGCCGATAAGAGTTTATGATTTTAATTATGCAAAGTCTGCCGCATGCAGTTTGGAAAGCCCAAACGCAAGTGCAACTGCAGATCGAGCACAAAATAACTCGGAAATTCGATGTTTTTTCTCAGAATCCAAAGGTGCTTTTTCTTCAAATATTAAATCTGAAGTAGATGTTATTTGCTACCGAACGAGCCAAAGAAAGACCACTTTTTTGCATTTTCAATGGCACCAAAAGTGGGCGGAAAAATCGCACCACTTAAGTGACCATTTTTACTGCGTGATTTTTGCAGGCGACCGGAAAGGAGCCCATTAGAAAGTCGGCATCTTTACGTGACTGGAATATCTTGAGATCATGTTGGACAATAATCAGTATTACAACCCCCTTTAGGTAACCTTTTGCAATCAAAAACACATTTCGGAATTTTGATTAACATCCTCATGAGATCGGCCACCCCCTGTATGTGCAGTGGATTCCAAAATCAGTTAGATACCAGCTGATGCGACCAAGATGTTGGCTGGCATCTGACGTAATCCGGTGTTAACCCATACTAGGTAAGTTGGTAGGTCCTGACTAGGAATCCTTCGAGTCACATTAAGAAAAGTGGTGCTGAAGTAATGTGTTTACGCCGTTGCTTTCATGCATATTCTACTACTTTTCATGCTCATTTTGGGAAATTGTATCTCACGGGAACTTAATGTCTAGGGGAAAAGAATATTTTGGTTTTGGAAATTCTTTCATTTGCCAGTTTTGGAGACGTCCACGTGAGGACTCGTGGGATCCAATATCCACAGGTCTATCATTGGCGCTGGTTGCGGGGTGTGTGACATGATACCAGTCCGTTTTAATATTTCATGAGTCGACACGTCCTTTTAATAAGTTGAGGAGGAATAGGGACTGTTTCACAGAAGATTGACGTCATGTCTTCCAGAGGCCCTAGGAATAGGTGAAGTGATTGCTCCAAAACATACGAGTTTCCAGAGCTTTTGAATACGAGACAATTAACGCCTTCCAACACTTAAGTTCAAAACGTAGCGGTGTACGAAATATGATAATAAAATCAAGTTTTCCGATGTCCTTCCACACGACAAAATTACCCCGTGCAAACGTAAAGGCCAACTGAAAGATTATGCGCGTTATGCATAGTCGTGAGGGTTCTTAGGCGAATGCCAGTTGCGCATTGCATATGAGCTAGTCTGTACTTATTTTCTCCAGCAACTATTGTTGTAGCTTCTTCCGAGTGGTCGTTTTTATTCAACTACATCAATCAATATTCAAAGGGTCACGAGCGTCCGCTGCGTGTTTATTCCTTCGCATACCTTGGTACCTCAGGCGCAGTTATAGAATATCCTATTTTTTCTCCATAGGTATGTGCGCCATACGTGCCGAGCGGGACTACACCATCGAAGAAGATTTTATGAAAGCTGTCCGCAAGTTGGCGGATACGAAGAAGCTGGAAACCAAGCTTGACTACAAGCCGTTGTGAATTAAGTCTTCATTTTCTTTCAATAAACCGCCCTTGAAAAGTATGACTGCATCTATTCTGACGATTTTTGTTGCAAAAAGCTCAATTGACGTTCCACAACGGGAGGAGTTTGCCCATAAAACGGAGGCAAGCGTGTCTACACGGATCACCGTAATCTTCAGCCAAGAGTCTATGATAAAGAGTGACAACGTGGGCGGACGCCAAAACAGGGCCGGCGGATGGATCTTATGCCATGGTTGAGGTAATTGGGAAGAAGTAGTAGGAGTGTCGTTATTGACAGTTAGGCGCCAACCATAAATGTGCTCGGAGAGAGAAAGAGGTGGTTTCTACCTTACTATCGTCGAGTACACTACTCAGTGCGCCCGCACCCGTCGGCCAGTTTGGGCGCACGGCACCACAACCCGGCCAACTCGTCTCATTAAGACATTTTTCGGGCGGCTTGAGAGGCAAGCCAGTCCTCGGAATAAATCCTGTTTTCTTCCTGGCTACCCACTGGACCCGCAGGCGGAAAAGTAGCGAACGCCAGCAAAATTCGGAGGGATGCACCAGTAGCCCCAGTCGCGTCCCTTCAGCTGTTGGCACAGGCTGTTTATAAGCAATTCCTCGGTTCCTTTCGAAGTGGCTCTCGGAACATCGTCAAATCTCTCTCTGGTTTCTTCTCCACCGCAAAAATAACCCTGGAACAAATAGAATAGATCCAATGAGGTCATAAGCTCTTAAGGAGTATTGTACTCGATGCAGCTGTAATGCCTGATCTAACGGCCTCAGTAACGTTGCGGACTGTACCTCTTTACGCGTTGAGATCTGCGGCAGCAGGTCTGGGGAGTTCAAACCACTCTCCCCGGCAACGGTGATCGACTACCAAAGGTCCAAGAAACAATTCCACGTTTTGGCAAACTGTCAAGGCAGGCTTTGAATTGACCTCTTCGACGCCTCCAGGTGGGTAGCGATGCCCGATTGAGGACAGCAAGACTGGATTCATGAGGCGTACGACGGGGGCATGCCAAACCACCTCAGTCGTCTTTCTTGGATGGCCTTGGATACTTTCGCGATGTTGCAGTGAGTGAGGACTGCCACATTCGAGACGAAGTCGGTGTATACTTAGCTCGAAAGATGGTCCTCAAGCAGCCACAACTGTAAAGGACTGACCAGACGAGTGCGCGGTACACGCGGATCTCCCGACTACTGAGATGTTGCGTCGGGTCCACACACATCTTAAGGTTTGTGGAAACCGTGTGAGTTGCATCGATTTCGGAGACAATGTCATCTCTACTCTGTCCACTCGGCAACAGTTCCGATTCGAGGCAGTTGAGAGTAACCACCTCAAGTTGACAGCCACTAGTACCGAGAGGTCGGGGAAGCAGTTCGCAAACGCCTTGGTGTTTCCAACGTCTTTGGATAAGCTGATCGATCTAGTGACATCGTCCACCCGTGACACGACGGACTGTAGAACAATAAAACTTGAAGCTAGTGCGACAATATTGTCAGTCGGCTTTCGGGTGCAAATTCAACACCGTCAAAACGATGAAGGGTTCTTCCGAGAATCCAGTAAACTACGCCATTCACTGACGTAAGGTATTCCTACTATAGTTTCGCCGGTCCCATTTAAATAGTGGTACATATCCTACCCATCCACTTGAGAAGGAAGTGCGCAAAGTCTGTCGTTTATTAAAAAAGAATGAATGTACAATTAAACCATCTTGTTGACTAGTTGGCTTATGAACTCACTCCGATTTCCAGAACGCTGATTGGAGGGATGATGCGTCTTCTTTATGACACCTGTCCAGTCGCCCGTAGGCGGCATTATCCTGAACGGATGTAGGAAGCCCAGAACCTCGCGCAAGTGGGGTCCGAGTGAAGTTAGTTCATGTATAACATCCTCGATGCATAGCAATCCAAACTGACCTAGAAAAGGTTATGTTAGAAAATCTGGCGACGAAAACTTACCCAACTTTTCTTCGACAAGTGCATTAGTAAGTGACTTTGTCGTGCCACCAACTTTGGTTTTTCCGCGTTTGAGGATGAGATTTCTAGTTGTAGCAAGGTCTGCGTAACCCCAAACGACGTATGGCTGCACAGTGGCCAGCAACTCTAACATTGCCTAGTAACGAAGTCAGTCAAGACACCTAAAAAACCTGGGAGACTCGCACGAAGACCGCCTGGTTTTTTGAAGTTAACCTCAGCAAATGGAGTATCTGAGAGGACTCCAGAGCGAGACCGAGATCGCCGCATATGCGTATGACTATGCCTAACCGTTCTCGGTTTGGTACCTCAACGGGCGGTTTTTTCTTCGTGGACCGAATTAGTCTGGATTCATCTCGAGCTGATTTGCGTGCCCTCTGGAAGAGATTAGAAAAACTTGAATCGAAAAAAAACTTACGGAGATGAAGAATGCCGGCCGGTGAAATAGCTGTTTCTGCTTTTGCGCGCGTTTTCGAATCTCCGTAGAACGTTTTCTTTGTTGTTTGATGACATCCTTATTAACTTGCTTCCTCCGTTTCAACAGCTTCACTGGAAGTGTGGGCAAGCGCGCTCGCGCTTTGGGTGCAAAACTAGAGAGTCAAATTTACCTACACTACTTACGATGATTCTTCAGCGTTCATGTTGACGCAGTCTATCTGGGGGGTGTGCGGGGTAGAAAATGTCCTTCAGAGATTGAGAAAACAATTAATGGGGAAGATAGTCCCAAGCGTTCACAGCTCAGATTCTGAAAGCGAGAAAGGTGTAGTAGAAAAACAATTACAGGCCTAGGCTATAGGTTTTTGCGTGTATTTTAGAACGAGGAACCGCACAGCTAGTCTTTAAACAGGCTGTGAACGATATAAGTCCCTAGACAGTACACAAAGGAAGGAGGCAGTATAGTTGCTGCTGATTGTTTGCTTTTTGTGGGGAGCAGAAGAAACAATCGAAAGTGACCGCTGTAACCGTTGCCCATTTATCAAGCGAAATTGATATATTAAATGTTTGATCAGCCAGGAAGCTGGGATTTTGCCCGAACTAAAAAACAAGCGTGTATTATAGGACAGCCTTCATCTGTATGCTCGTGATATGGTTGAGAAGTAAAGCTCTGAAATCACGGTTGAGTCAGAACCAGCAGGTTTGGGTTTATTATGCATTGCAAACTATGCTGAGTCGAAATGAAAAAGACGCAAATAATTGCTACCAGTGGCCAGACGACAACAGGGAATCTATTGAAGCGGTGGACGAATGGTTGAGCGAGTAATGGGCAACAACACGTAAAGCTTATAAGGTTATAAAAAGCTAACGTTGGAATGCCTACTTAGTCATCTAGTCATCAAGTAAACAAAGCAGGAACGTCAACGATCAAGACCACATGATAAAAAGTACAGATTGTGAAGATGCAAGGCTGTAGGACGGACACGTCGCCCTAGGCTCAGTCCCATGTGATTTCTGCCATCAAAAGCCGTTTCTGTCATCCTCCGACATGACGTATTGAGATTATCAAACATCTAAAAGTGATTGCATGAGATTAGGCAGTTGCATTGAAAACAACTGGATTTGTGAATCGGATTTTTGCCAAAGTACCCAGTTTCTTTCGTTTCTACTGGAGCTGACTGGTGTGTTTCTCTAACACAGAGGATTGACCAAAACCCAAAAGATTTCCAAGAAAATTTTGTGAACAGCCTCAGTTGATCAACCGTTTTTCAAATAGATAGCGCTTGAGATGGGAAAAGATACCCCATTTGTAGGTTGGCTAGATGTCCTTCGTTTTGTCCATCTTGTGCTCAGGCAACAGGGAGTGTCAAGCGTGGTAAACCTCTCCGGTCTCCTCCGATTGCCCTATCATCTTCGCTCAGCTGACAGGCGGTTCCTTTGGTCACTGAACGCCTGAATAACGACGAGCGTTGCGTTTTATTTTCTTTAATGCCCTTGTGAAGCTTGTTTCGCTTCGAGAATACGATTTTTATAGTTTGGGTGAATGCTGTTAGATGTTGCTAGTAGAAAACTTGCGATGATAACTCCGCTGACGCACAATAGAGCTGTCCCAGGAAGTGCCGACTATGGTTCATTTTTCCCAGAATACTGTTTGCAACTCACGACATTGCTTAATTCCGTTCACGGGATCTCAGACAGCGAAGTCGGAACATTTCGCTAATGTTTTCAGAAAAGGGCACCGGAAGAGGAAGTCTTCCCGGATTTTTTGCTAGACTGACGGTTGGATATGCAGGAAAGTCTACTTAGAGTCAACTGCCAACGTACGCTGTCTGCAGCTAGATTAGAACCCCACTTTCAAATACGGGAACATTGCTGATTGCCCACTTCCGCTGGGTGAAGGAAACGCACGTCGGCACTCAATTCGGCTTCCAGTGCACTTGATAGAGATAATTACTGGGTGACAGGATGAAGACTGCCACGTATCCGGCAAGCCAGAAGGTGGTGGACGGTGGAACGGCATTCACTGAAGCCTACAAAGTAAACGGGCTTATCTGCCGTTTAGTAAACGGTACTTGACAGTTGATGGCACTAAAACCTGTTTCTGAGATCCGACTGGCCGGCCACCATATGAAATATCCCAGTTCAGCAACGATTACGAATTCTCACCGAGTCCTTCCCATGGCTACCTCGCAAGGAGGATATCTACACACAGGCGGACGTCGGGAATCGGCAACCAGATGTGCTAAACCCTCAAAAAATGAAAGATCGACATTGTTGTACCGTCGCGGCCGGACTTCTGCCAGTCAGTTCGTGAACAAATTATTTAGATGGTCTGTTTCAAATAAAACAACGATAACACAATGTTTGCGGGGAGCCAGCACTGCAAAGGGGTTTACCGATGCGAATTTTGAGAAGATCAAGGTGTTGCTGGTTCTTCTCAGGGGCGTTCGTAGGGCAGTAGCTGACAAAATAAACGTTTCAGGCAAGGACTGGCTTTCCCATCTGTACTACAAATGTGTCACTAACATCAATGATAGGATAAGTGTCTAGATTATGCATTGGAAATAGATTCTGCTGAAGGCCGCACTTGTACGTTGTCAGGG